GCTAATCCTCGGAATACTAGGAAAAAGTCATTCATATGGAAGGGCATTTTAAAAGGGTGGGAAGTATGCTCCAAAGGTATTATTTGGCAGCTACATCGCCTTTCCAACATGAACATTTGGGAATTAAATTGGATCTCCAACCTAGGGAGCCTTAGAAACACAATAGAAGGCCCTTTGTCAAAGAATGACTATAACCTTGCAATTAGTAATATTTTTTATGGCAAGCAATGGCACTTTGATACTATATCCCTCAACCTACCCGATGATATCAAGGATGCCATATCCAAAACAAAAATCTGTATTAAACTTCCTATTAGAGATATCCCTATTTGGTCCCTTAACACTAAAGGAATATTCACGACCAAATCTTGTTACTCTCTAATGCACAATAACAATGACACCAATTTGGACTTCCAGTGGATTTGGGGTCTGCCTTGTCCAAATAAGATCAAATTTTCCTTTGGCAATGCCTTCACAATAAAATCCCTTGTAGACAACACCTTGCAAAAATTGGCCTAAACATAGATCCTTACTGCCCAATATGTAGAAACCAAGTAGAGAAATCTATCACTCATATTTTTCTCAAATGCCAGGCGATTAACCATCTTTGGGAAACGTTTGGTTGGAATAATTACTACAAGGAAAATGGAGAACATTGGCTAATCCAACTAAAAAATCTTAACTACTGCTTCAAAAACTCCTTATTAAGCTGGAACCTTTTCTTCCCTTTTGCTATTTGGTATATTTGGACAAACAGAAATAATAATAATCATAATAATACTAGCTTGTCCATAAACTCCCATCACATTACAAGCAAAGCTATAGAATTCCATCTATTAACGGAAACCAATATCTTACATGCGCCAAAACTCCTTATTAAGGTTCAATGGCACAAACCTCCAATGGGATGGTACAAACTAAACATTGATGCAGGCTTCCATAGAGACATGCAAAAATGTGATTTAGGTGGAGTCATCAGAAATGCCAAAGGTGACTGGATTGTGGGTTATAACAAAAGTGCTAATGCATATGGCTGTCTTCAAGCAGAAATAAAGGCTTTACTAGAAGGACTAAGAACAGCCCATGAGTGGGGCTTGTTTCCACTTCAAATTGAAACGGATTCCACGGAGGTGATTCTAGCAATACAACAAGGCAACCACCTATATACTAACATTTTATTAAAATGCAGGTTGTTAATGCACCAAGGGAAGCAGGTAATACTCAAGCACGAATTCCGGCAAGGGAATAGGACTGC